TCCCACCCTACAAACCATCCTTACCACTCCTCCAGATCATCATATTCGATCCTCCACCATCTTCAGCATCACGATTCCTTTACCACCATCACGCTCCCTGCTCCATTATCAGCATCACCACCCTCCATCATCGCCACCGCTCCTCCACCATCATCTGCACTCCTCTATGCTCCATCACCCTGGACACCCACACGCCATCCTCCCATCACCATCACTCCACCACCACCATCATCATCCTCCATCACCCTCCATCCCCCAATCACTCGCCCTTGGCAGCTTCGCGCACGCGCTCTGATCCGTACAGTGCGAATTAGAGTCGGCGCGCCCCCTTGCCCCCAATTATACCCCCCCCCCCCCGACACACATATAAAGACAAAGCTTACCCTATAGCCTTAACAGATTGTTGGGACAAGTGCTGTTAGCGAGCACGGCACACGAGGATGTTGTTGGCCAGCACACACGCCCGCCCGCCTTTGCCTCGCCAGTGGCAATGATTACACAGCGCACCAGGTACTCATTTGAGGCTGAGTCACGCGTACACTCACTCACGTACAAAAACATGCAGACTGCTGTTCGCAATCACCTAATAAGGTGATTGCGAAGGACGCACGAGGGGGTGGTGTGACTAGCATCGTGCCAGGTCGCCTTTGTCTCACCGATGATGAATCTAAATGCTTCACACATAGCAACAGATTCCCATGTACGGCTGAGTTGACCTAGGAGAGTCCCAAGACCGGTTCAGATGCCACTCGCCACGGACACATTCAATTTAAACACATTTATGCATAAACTGGTTTGCACAGAGGCAAACATCCCCCGTATATCATTGGAACAGACTGTTGGGGCAAGTGCTATTAGCGACACGGCACACAATGGGGTGGGTGGCCAGCACCACGCCCGGCCGCCTTTGTCTCTCCATTTCTGGTGTTTCCACCCCGCACCCGGTGCTCATGTCTGTCTGAGTCTACCTAGGGGAGGCCCAGTAAGGGTTCAGATACCACGTGCCACTGATGATGTGCGGATTTTCCAGGAATTGAACCAAATGCGAAGCAGGGATGGGGCGTTTGGAGGTAGCAGGATAAGGTGGGTGTGGGGGCTAGGGGAGGTGGAGGAGGAAAGGCAGGGGGAGGGAGGGTTCAAGGGGGGCTGGAGGGAGAGAGGAAGCGACAGGTGTGTGGGGGGAGCTGTGGAGGAAGAGGCGAGCGTGCTGCTGCTGATCGTGTGAACAGCGCGTTCTCTCTGACAGTAACGGGGGAGGGGGGAGCGGTGGGAGGAGAACGGGGGGTCAGACAGATGTGCGTCGCGAGGCACAGGGAGAGAGGGAGGGGTTGGTGGGGGGGCGTGTTGGCTCGTGAATACATCATCATCACCACCACCAACACGCCACTACCAGCACCATCATCAACAGCATCGCAACGCCCCGAGAGGCGCCGTGATTTTTCAAAGCGTAAATTTCAGCCACCGTCCTGGTTTCCACTCTGTTGTAGAGGTCATTGCGTTGTGGGGAGAGGGACTGAGGCTGGGAGATGGAGGAGGAGGGAGCGAGGCGGCGTTGGCCACTATGAATTGTGCGCGTGCGCGGGATGAATGAGAGCGAGTCCCGCGTGGGGGATGGGGGGCGGGGCGACAATTTCCCCGCAGCTTCCAGAGCGCCGGGAGACCCCCCCCACTCCACTCCGCTGCCCACAAACCCCACACACCACAAACCACACACACCACACACACCATACACCCCACGCACCACACACACCATACACCACACACACCATACACCCCACACATCACCACACACCACATACACCACACACTACACACACCACACACCACACACCCCACGCACCACACACACCAAACACCACACACACCATACACCCCACACACCCCACACACCACACACCACACACACCACACACCCCACACACCACACACATCACAACCCCACACACCACACACCACACACATCACACACCCCACACACCACACACCCCACACACATCACAAACCCTACGCACCACAAATCCCACACATCACAATCTCCACACACCACAAACCCAAGTGACATCGCTTCTACAACCGCAGGATGGCGCCATGGAGCGGGTTAAATTCCCGAACCGGGCGCGGGCCGTGGCCGGGTGCGACGCGATCACGATGAGGTCGTGAGCGCACGAGTGGGGTCCATGCCCCCCCTGAATCATGAAGCAATGCCCCCCACCCATCACCTAGCCGTGTGCCCTCCATTCAGAGGCTTCTCCTCGGGGTGGCGGCTGAGGAGGCACTGAAGATCAATTTGAAGAGGTCATCATGGGCATTGTCAATAATGCCGCCACCAGCACCACCACACATCGCCATCGCTTCCTTCCTTCTGCCAGATTCCACAGCATTTGGTTGCACAGTCGACGTCTGGAGACCTTCAGGCTTTGCTCTCGGTCTCATTCCACTCGTGGACTTTTACACTGAAGGGGTGGGTGAGGGCTGTGGGTTACTTTGATATTGCACGGTGCAGCATAACAAACACAAATAGACCCGCTGAAATGATGATGATGGGGTCGAGATTGAAAGATTCAAAATGAGGCGCTCCGCCCAATGGGCGAGATAAAAAGATATTGCCTCCAGTCACGAAAGCTTCAAATCAAGAGATCAAATCAAGAGATCAAATCAAGAGATCGCCTCCTATGGCGTGGCCACCTCTCACGAGGGGAGCGCGACGGGGCCCCAGTCCCCCGTTCGGCAGGAATCGCGTTTAGCCCCCGCCCCCCCCCCCCCCCCCAGGGGCGCAGCAATCAGCGATGCATCTCCAGCTGAAGCTGCGTTGTTTGGTATCTCGGCTGCAACGGGTAAATGTGGTGATTGCACATTTCCTGAGATCGCTTTGCCCTCTCGGCACGGGGGTGGGGTGGTGGTGGGGGGGGGCTACTGGGTTCCAGTAAACGCACTTGGCACGGGGCTTGGCACGACATGCCGGGAGTGGCAGCAGCTGGAGGACCTCCACCGATGAGACGAGATCGACTCATCGTCGTGAGACTTGGAGAGGCCTCTACCTACCAGTGGATTGGTCATGGCTCATGATAAGCATGACACGTACACATATGTACGTACAAAGCTCCCCTGTACAACCTGAACATACCGTTTGGACAAGTGCTGTTAGCGTGCACCTTTTGAAGGCCGAAACGTTACACGAGGGGGTGGGTGGCCAGCACCACGCCCGGACGCCTTTGTCTCCCCAGTGGTAGATATCTGCACATCGCACCAGGTACTCATTTGAGGCTGAATGGACATAGGGGAGGCCCATGACCGATACTCGTCACTGGTGATGACCGTGAGCGGGAATCGAACTCGGGTTGCCGGGTTCATGGCGCAGCGCTCGAACTGCTGCCCATCTGTCTGTGTCCTTCTCGAAGCCCGCACGACGGGGAGGGGGGAGGGGGGGCTCGTGTGTGTATTCCTGGAGGGAGCGGAGACCCACTTGCCTAAAGGCCCCGTTATTTTTAACATGTTTAAATGTTTATAGTGTGCTTGTTTACTTATCCGCTCCATCTCCTTGAGCCAATTTTATTCCCTCGCTGGGGTTGGGAAGTTCCAGCTCTTGGGATCCCCAAAAATAACCCCGGGCGCGAGTTTGGGATGGAGAAGGGGAAAAATGGTGATTATAGTAAATACATTAAATATATTTTTTTTATCTGCCAAGGAATGGAAACGCGTCCACAAGGTCGTTCGCCACCGAGTCGGCGCGAATATGAGATGAGGCCACGTGGAGTTGCCGAGTAGGGTGATTACACCGCAGGGTCGTGAGCCGTGGTGGCGACGGCTTGGGGTGGAGACCTTCATCCAGCAGTGGACTGACCATGGCTAATGACCATTGATGATGAATCAGGGAAACGATCTACTCGCTCCTGCTGTGATGCAGCGGTTGGTGGGTCACACGGAGAAGGGTGCCACGAGGCTTCCAAATCCCGCTGGAGATACGAGGTGGTCAGAATGGTGGAGGGAGAGGCGGTGGAGCTGTGGACCCCACTGATTCGCCGCGATACGGTTTTAAGGAAACAACAACTCGATTCGCTAATGAGTTAAAAACTCTCAGGGTAAAGGCATGTGTCGCTCTAATATTGCATTACCCGAACAAGAAACTGGTTAATATTTTAAAAAAGTATCAAGTTAATTACGCGAATAGTTTTTACTCTCACATTTGATTACTGAATCGCTCTAAAATATACATATTTAATGACTAACGGTTCTTTATGAATCAGTCTGGTATTTATTGAGATTATGATCAACAGTTAATTGATCACTGTGATAGTGAGTTAATCAGGTAGCATAAGGAGTGCCCTTGCCTAGACATCTGGCCACCCAGCCGCGTGTTCTCATCAGGCCAGAGGCCACGTGATCTACAGACGCTGCAGGGTCGTGTTGGTGTGGAAAAACAACAGGCCGATAGACTAAACCATATTCGTATCTATTTCTGGAGGACGGTGTTGGGCAGATATTTGCTTTAACCCACAATGTTGTTCATTGTGTTCGGGCTCTGAAGGACTGCGAGGTGGCATCTGAACGCCGTGGTCTGTGGTCGCCACCCTGTGGTGAAGTATGGAAACTTCACCTCCGAAGCGCCTCTCAGATTCGTGAATCGGTGATGAGCGTTGAAGAGCGGTGAACAGGTATATCACCGCGCCCCCCACCCCACCCCGTATATCTGTATGAGAGGTACCTGTGGGTTTCCACCTCCTGTAGTGTTACATGTTGCTGGGCTGCTTCGTGTTGCAACCCACGGGAACACACTGAGGCTGTGCGCTAGAGGGCAGCATGGACTCACAGCCCGAGACGAACACAGCAGCAGCAGCCGCCTGAGACTCGCAAACGCGGCCCCGTAGAGCAGCACGGGACCCTGAGCCGTGCCACATCGGACCGATAACAGAGGAGGACGCAAAGACTCGCGTCGGGCCCGGATGGGGGTGGAGCGGTGGCGCGGAGATTGGCAGGAGCTGGGCCAATGAGGGCGGGCGGGCGGGCGGGTAAATATTGAACCCGTTCCTCGGAGGGGCTCCAGTTCGTGCGGCTCCACAAGAGGCCGAGTCGAAGCAGGGAGATCGACACAGCTGTGGGATTAGACACAGAGAGAGACGTCCACTGCGAACAGACGCAGACCCTGGCAGTCAGACACTGGAGGGAGACACTGGAGGGAGACACAGACACTGCACACAGACACTACAGACAGGGCGCTGGTAGTCAGACACTGGAGGGAGACACTGGAGGGAGACACAGACACTGCACACAGACACTACAGACAGGGCGCTGGTAGTCAGACACTGCACACAGACACTGGAGGGAGACACAGACACTACAGACAGACACTGCACACACAGACACTGCACACACAGACACTGCAGGCACACACAGACACTGCAGGCACACACAGACACTGCACACACAGACACTGCACACACAGACACAGACACTGCACACACAGACACAGACACTGCACACACAGACACTGCAGGCACACACAGACACTGCACACACAAACACTGCAGGCACACACAGACACAGACACTGCACACACAGACACAGACACTGCACACACAGACACATACACTGCACACACAGACACAGCAGACAGGGCGCTGGTAGTCGCCACCGTGCAGGGTGGGGGAGCCATGCCCTGCAGACAGAGACTCTACAGGGAGGCGCTCGGGCAGCAGGCGGCGACACCCATCACCACCACCACCCAGCAGGGGGAGGAGGAGGGGGGGCTGGCTGCTCGCCCGCCCCAGGCGGCGATGGCCTCCGAGGCGGGCGGCGCGGCGGCTCCGGCTCCAGGCCGGGCCGCCAGCAGCAGCAGCAGCGGCGGCGGCGGCCCGGGCGGCCCGCGGAGGCGCTCGGACCCGCGGCGCCAGGCGGCGCTCAGCTTCCTCTCGTCCATCTCCCTGGACGGGAGGCGGCCCTCGCAGGCCCGCGCCGAGCCCGACACCCCGGCGGCCTCCGTCTTCTCGTCGCCGCTTCTGCTGCTGCCGCCGCCGTCGTCCGCGACCCCCGCGGGCCCCGCGGGCCGCGAGTCGCCGCTCTTCTTCCCGGCGACCGGGCCCACCGCGGGCCCCGGGGGCAGGCCCCGCGTCCCGGGCGGTGTTGGTGGTGGCGGTGGTGGTGGCGGCCCCGGGGCCGTGGGAGCGACCTCGGGCCCCGCGCCGTGCCCCGTTTGCCCGGCGGGCCGCGCCCTGAGCCCCGTGGAGGTCTCCGACCCGCTCCGTGCCAGGTGCGTCCCCTCGTCCCCCGCGTCCCCGCGTCCCCCGCGACTTCGGGAGACACCTCGAGACTCGGGACCCCGCGGGGTGCCCGAGCCAAGCGGCGGCGTGAGGCCTCGCAGCCTCCTACTCCTCCTCGTCGTTGTTGCTGTTGTTGATGCTTTGTCAGCCCTTCTCTATCCACTGCTGGATGAGGGCCTCTCCGCGTCGTGCCCACCATGGGATGTGTGTGGCCGTACTTCACCAAGCTGCTCAACGTGCTCACAAATAAACGAGCTTTGCAATAATTATATAATATCGACAACGATGCATCGAGGTTTTAAGAGGCCTTTATTTAGAACCACGTGCAGGAATGATGCCCTCTGGTTACCCGGGAGAGCCGCGACTTTGGCTATTTGGCCATCAGTGAGGATCTGGCCTCTTGTGGGAGGCGGGGAGAACACCCCAGCACCACGCCTAATGCACTCGGGGTGGAGGGTAAACACGCACAGCTCCGCACAGATGGATTCAAGAATCCGTTGCTGTGCGCTGCATTCTCCTGGATACTACTGAGCAGTGCAGGGTTGTTTAATAGTTTAACATGTAAAGGCTAAAGGTTTAAAAACTAGTCACCGAGTGCACTGTATAGTGTGTTATGCAACGCCGTTGTTTGTGAGCGCTCCCACGCGTGTTCAACCACAGCCGACGAGCGACGCATTGAATAGCCTGACGATTCTGCAATGGCCTTGCAAGAGCAGAGAGAACCACAGTCGTCTAGAGATTAACTCATCATTGGGGGGGGGGGCTATTTTACATCGGAATGTTTTGAAGGAAGCTGAGCTCGGTAATTAGAAACCGACACACACGTGGTGGATGCATGCGGTCGTGTTGTCGCCCGTGTGTGTGGCGTGTGTGTGTTGGGTGTTTGTGTTGTTGTGTGTGTGGTGTGTGTGTTGGTGTGATGTGTGTGTGGTGTGTGTGATGTGTGTGTTGGTGTGATGTGTGTGTGGTGTGTGTGATGTGTGTGTGGTGTGTGATGTGTGTGTGTGTGTGGTGTGTGATGTGTGTGTGTGGTGTGTATGGTGTGTGCTGTGTGTGTGCTGTGTGTATGGTGTGTGTGGTGTGTGCTGTGTGTATGGTGTGTGTATGGTGTGGTGTGGCGTGTGTGTGTATGGCGTATGTGTGCGGTGTGTGTGGCGTGGTGTGTATGGCGTGTGTGTGTTGTGGTGTGTGTGTGGCGTGTGTGTATGGCGTGTGTGTGGTGTGTGTGTTGTGGTGTGTGGCGTGTGTGTGTATATGATGTGTGTGTGGCGTGTGTGTGGTGTGTGTGTTGTGGTGTGTGTGGCGTGTGTGTGTATATGATGTGTGTGTGGCGTGTGTGTGTGTGGGGTAAACCCGGCCCTGCTGTTGGCCTTGGCCCCCCGTGACAATAACAACATCGCTGGCGCTGTGTGCGCACGTGGTGCTACCACACGAGTCTCTCTCCCCCACGTGGCAGGCGCAGTGGCACGTCACGTGCGCCGCAGCGAACAGACCCGACTGCTTCTCGTGCCCCTGACTGCATGGGCCCTGTAAACACGTGGACTACATCGTACGGGTGTCACCACGGCGGTCTTGTTGTGACGCGCGCGGTACACGCCACGTGCTGCGTGGTCATGCGATGTATATGCAGTTGAAGACACGGGCAGCATATGTACAAGTTTTCTCTGTTGTATACGCTGCATGACACTTACACTACAGAATGTGAAATGGTGTATGGTTTAAGATGACTTGCACGTGCTGTGCATAACAGTACACGATACCATAGCACTGCCATTGTATTTTTTATTGCAGCGTTAAGATACGTTATACTACGCTTATTCTGTCTTGTATGCACTACACCGCGCTTGTAAAACATCGGTATTGTTTGTGTAAGTTGTAAACTGTCTCAGGTGCCCTGCATGGCTCGTGGAGGCAGGGCACGTGTACAATGCAGGTGATGTCTGTGGCTCATGGAGGCAGGACACGTGTACAATGCAGGCGATGTCTGTGGCTCGTGGAGGCAGGGCACGTGTACAATGCAGGCGATGTCTGTGGCTCGTGGAGGCAGGGCACGTGTACAATGCAGGTGATGTCTGTGGCTCGTAGAGGCAGGACACGTGTACATTGCAGGTGATGTCTGTGGCTGAGTGGAGGCAGGACACGTGTACAATGCAGGTGATGTCTGTGACTCATGGAGGCAGGGCACGTGTACAATGCAGGCGATGTGTGTGGCTCGTGGAGGCAGGGCACGTGTACAATGCAGGTGATGTCTGTGACTCATGGAGGCAGGGCACGTGTACAATGCAGGTGATGTCTGTGACTCATGGAGGCAGGACACGTGTACAATGCAGGCGATGTCTGTGGCTCATGGAGGCAGGGCACGTGTACAATGCAGGCGATGTGTGTGGCTCGTGGAGGCAGGGCACGTGTACAATGCAGGCGATGTGTGTGGCTCGTGGAGGCAGGGCACGGTAGGGGCTGCGAACGCTGCCGGGTTCCCAGCGCCGCCGTCGTGCGTTGGTGGGGGGGGGGGGGGGGTTGTGCAGCTCCCTCCGCACCGCCCTCGTGCGTGATTGTTCCCAGGGCCGGGACCCCGCTCCCCGCACCTTCCGTTCCCACGTTCCCATGGCCGGGCAGTCGTGGAGCGGTGGCGCGGCGGAGAGCGCCGCTGCGCTTAGAACCCGGCCACCCGACTTGGATTGCCGCTCACGACCAAGAACAGCGGGGTTTCCCCTTAAATGGGTACCTGGTGCGGTGTGTAAACATCGAGCACCGGGGAGACAAAGGCGACCTTGCCTGGTGCTAGCCCACACCACCTATGCAATGCACCGCGTTGGCCTTCATAGGTATTCGCTCACAGCCAGCCTGTTGTGCCAGTTCGATATCTGGCCACGGCCAGCATGGCTCAGTAGAGGCCACCGGGTTTCGTTTGTGTGCAGCTCATGTCCGTGTTGTGTTCCGAGTTGAATAATGTTGATCTTGATCTGCGTCATTACACCTCTGCAGGCTGGTTCCGCGAGACACCCGCCTGGTGTAACCGTGCGCTCCGCTAAGTTCCCACGCCTCCCAGCTCAGGAAACGTGGAGAGTTGTGAGGAGGGGGGGAGGTCACAATTGTGTGACGGGGGCCACACGAGCGCCCCTGCTTCCCCTCTCGCTCCATATCGCTCCCCCGTGACGTTTCCTCCACCCCCCCCCCAACCTCTGCTCCACTCGGCCCTTTGAGATCGCGCCGATGCCACCCGGCACCAGTGTTCATGCCCGCGCGTTTGCGCGCGTGTGGTCGGGCGTGGCGAGGGTGCGTGTGTATTTGTTGATGCGTGACCGTGTTTGCGGGCCCAATATTTGTGGGGAAGTGACGCTTACAACAACGAGCGGAACGCCGGGCAGATAAAACGCATCAAGCTGGCACAGTGAGGGAGCACAGGTGGTGCATCTGACAGCCATTCAACCCGTGGCACTTGGGTGTGTTCTGTGACGCCCAGGTAGCGAGCATTCCACACTTGGCGTGGCCTCAAGTTGCACCTCGCCTGGTGTAAGCGCCATGGCGACGTCACCGTCACTTGCCGGCGAAGGGAGGTTATTGTTCCGATGTGTGCGTGTCTATCGGCCGCGTGTGGTGCCGGGCAAGCCACCCCCTTCGCGTGCCGACCTTAATAGGTGCTCGCGAACAGCGCTTGGCCGTGTGGCTTCAGGGTGGCCCGTGTCTCTGTTGGTGCACAGCGTGCCGAGTCGGCGCCGGCTGCTGTCGCGGTCGTCGGTGGACACCCTGGAGGAGATCGAGGAGAACGCGCCGCTGCGTAGGTGAGGCTCCCCAGCGCCTCGCCCGGCCACTCGGCCCGTCGTGGTATCCGTGATCACGATGCGCTGTGGCAAATATCGCCGTACGTTATGCAGCATGCCGTGCCTTGCGCAAGTGGAATTCGTCGTGTTTATTGTGTGCTTTTCTGTCGTGAGATTACGCAAACCGCGTACAATCTGTAGCGCTCACGATGCACATGCTGTCAGGTACACAAGGAGTAAGCAAATCGTGACTATTCAATGTAATGTCGTCATCTCACCGCCATGCTGTTAATTCCTTCGGAAAGAGTTTTGCAAAGCGCAATATCTATGTATTTAGGGCTTGACTGCGCTATTTAATATTTCTTAATTTTAGAACTTTCGTGACTGCAGGAATTATTATTTGGTTCTTTCGGTTAAGTCACGTCTAAAGATAAAATAATAAATTTAATTAAATAATAGCATACGACGTTTCGATTGCAACACAAGCAATCATCATCAGGTATAATGAAATAGCGACATAAAATCTAACCAGAAAACCATAGACAGACATATCAGCAGACAGATATCACCAAGACACACAGAGAGAGCAACACAGGTAACAGAGAGGGGTGATCGTCTCTGTGGGGTGGCCTTAAATAGACAGAGGGGGGGCGGAGGCAGAGAGAGGGAGGGGGTTAGAGGAAAAAATTAGCATATCAATGAGTGGACAACAAACGTGGTGCTGCAAGTGCGATGACACGGCAAGCAAGCCTGAAAATCAGGAGGACACACTAAAATTAAATAACCTAGTAAAATATCGAAATGTAATGTAATACAACACAGAGGGTCGGTCAACACACAATTAACGCATAGCCTGGTTGATTACGTATTTCAAAGATTGCTAAGTTAGAATTTAAGTGTGAACATTCCAAAGAGAGGACACAGGCAGAGAGAACAAGTAGCCAGAGAGAGAGAAAAAAGATAAGCTTAAAACTTCCCCGTAGAAGTGGTTCAATCTTAATTTTATAACTTTCGTGACTGCAGGAATTATTATTTGGTTCTTTCGGTTAAGTCACGTCTAAAGAAAGAACCAAATAATAATTCCTGCAGTCACGAAAGTTCTAAAATTAAGATTGAACCACTTCTACGGGGAAGTTTTAAGCTTATCTTTTTTCTCTCTCTCTGGCTACTTGTTCTCTCTGCCTGTGTCCTCTCTTTGGAATGTTCACACTTAAATTCTAACTTAGCAATCTTTGAAATATGTAATCAACCAGGCTATGCGTTAATTGTGTGTTGACCGACCCTCTGTGTTGTATTACATTACATTTCGATATTTTACTAGGTTATTTAATTTTAGTGTGTCCTCCTGATTTTCAGGCTTGCTTGCCGTGTCATCGCACTTGCAGCACCACGTTTGTTGTCCACTCATTGATATGCTAATTTTTTCCTCTAACCCCCTCCCTCTCTCTGCCTCCGCCCCCCCTCTGTCTATTTAAGGCCACCCCACAGAGACGATCACCCCTCTCTGTTACCTGTGTTGCTCTCTCTGTGTGTCTTGGTGATATCTGTCTGCTGGTATGTCTGTCTATGGTTTTCTGGTTAGATTTTATGTCGCTATTTCATTATACCTGATGATGATTGCTTGTGTTGCAATCGAAACGTCGTATGCTATTATTTAATTTAATTTATTATTTTATCTTTAGACGTGACTTAACCGAAAGAACCAAATAATATTTAATATTTTTCCATGAAATAGAAAAAGTATATCATGAAATGAAAAACGCTAATCAAGATTTGCACAGTTGGCTACATACAGTGCGAAAGAAGTTCAACATACATTATGTAATGATCTTTTGAAAAAAACAGCCACATCACGGCAACCTGAGTCTTGCGAATGCTGGTGTCCCGTTATCTCCCGGACACTCGTGGGACCGTGAGTTACTCCCCCTTTGCCCTGCCTCCCCCCGCCAGGTGCCGCACGCTCTCGTGTTCCCCACGACCCAAGGCGGCGCTCAAGAAGGTTCACTTCATCAAGAACATCCGGCAGCACGACACTCGCAACGGCAGGTGGGCGCCGCCACGCGCGCGTGCCCTGACTCGGGGGTCCTTCGTGCGCTCGCGCGTCGTGCGGCAGGCATGTGCCTAGTAGACACAGCCGTCGTGAGAGGTATACTAGATGTGGTGGACCGGATGCTTGTATTTCAGGTCGCTGACTAAGACGCATCTGAAATGAAGCCTTGCTTCACGCTGACAATACATGCACCGAATGGCACGTATCGGAATCGGTCATTTACAGTTGTATACAAATATGTCAACATTTTAGTCTAACAGAGAGAACAAAACCATACAAATGACTTTTTTTTTATTGGAATACAAATGAGACGGTATAAACGAAAAAAAAATTAACCGGATTTTGCATTGCATGGCAATCCGTGACGTTTCATCGTCCCAGTTCATCAACTCGCTGCAGGGCAGCCCACCGGTAGTTGCCTGGCAGTCTTGTCCCTGTCTCGGCGTCACCATCGGTGAGCGAGCGCTCTTTGGGCACCTGCAGGGCACGCGTGGGAGGTGGTCGAAGTCGTCGCCGGCGCCATCTCACGCGCTCGCTGCTCCGCCTGTGCTCCACGCCCTCCACCCCCGTGTCCCGTGCAGGATCGTGCTGGTCTCCAGCAAGCGCTCGCTGTGCTCCGTCTTCTCGGTGGTGCCGTACCGAGACGCCAACCCCTTCGGGTGAGGCTCCGTCACCCCGGCACGAGCGACGGCCGGAACCGGCTTATTGCCAGCCAAAGCCCCACCTGATGCAGGGCGCCCGAGACCGCAGGGGTTCACGACGGCACGCCGACGCCCTCTGCCCCGCCTCACCTCGCTCTCTTCCCCGTGCCGGGGCCTCGTTGCAGGGAGGTGCGATCGGACGGCACCCGACAGCGCCACCACTCGGGAGGGCACACCAGCTACCCGGAGCGCGCCGGGTCTCTGGGCTGGCTGGAGGGCGTGAACCTGGGAGCGGACGGGGCAGTAGTGCACGAGGTATGATCCCTCGACCCCTCAGCCCTTGACATCAACCCCTACCTACCCCCTATCCCTATCCTGTATCCCAATCGCGATCCCATATCAAGAATTTGGAACCAGTAAACTCGTGGATTCTTAAACCAATCTGCCTCGAGAAGAGAGTTTTTAATCAATGTGTGGCATAATGAACATAAACATGCACATCAAAACTTAAGAGTTCACACAAAAGCATAAATAAGTACATGCTTGGAATTACACCGAGAAACAGATGGGGGAACACCGCGATGAGAGAACATTCACGTTCAGGGAATTCTGTTGACTGTTCAGCAAGCGGCCTTGGGTAGCACATGCTTTTGGAAGGAATAATGGTCGATGGCCAAGAATAATCACGGAGTGGCAGCCATGTGATGAATGCATCCGAGAGGACGCCACCGAGGAGATGGAGCGATGAAATTAGATCTTGTGCAGGTGCTGGTTGGATGATTACTTCGCAGGGCGGTGAGAGATGGTGACGGCTTGGGGTGGCCTTTGTCCGACAGTGGATTGATCACGTCCGTAGATGACGGCGGCGGCGTGAGCGCGCGGGGTGGACGGTGCGCTGGTCGCGAGCTGGCGCCGCGTGTGTGCCCCCACAGGCCGTGTCGTACGCCCAGTTCCTGCACCCCACCAGCGCGCTCGTCACACGGCGCGCCCACGCAGCCGGCGAGGGGGTGGCCGCGCTGGCACGCGGCGCCCGTGCGGGGACCGCGCCGGCGCCGCACCGACAAGCGCCACACCATGCCGGTACTTGCCAGCACACGCCAGCACACGCCAGCACACGCCTGCACACACCTGCACACGCCTGCACACGCCAGCACACGCCTGCACGACGATGCACAACCACGCACAGACCACAAGGGAGGTGGTAGCAGCTGAAGGCCCAAGTCGTATTTGCGACGCCATGGTTTCAGGTTGTGCCTGTGTGTGAGTGTGGGTGTGTGCATGTGTGGGTGTGCGTAGAGGGAAGCGACAGTGCAGTTGTTAGCGCACTGCGTTACGTGGCGCAGAAGCGTAGTCACCATATCTACGCCTCTATATAAGGAACGAAACAGGAGGACTTCGCCACAAATCTGTCTGTCGCCTGATGAAGCTAGTTGTAATTACTGGCGAAACATCGTACTCACATTGTAAATGATGTGGCTTGGCTCTCCAACACACCGGTGTGCTGTACTAGTGACGAATTGGCCACGTTCTGTTTACGTGACAACCCTTACTAGTTGGCTGTGGCGGGTTTAACGACACTTTTATATATTAACCCAAAACAACCTCTTATGGATATTGGTCACGAAAGCCTACGTGTTAAACTACATGTTGGATCTTTGTCTTTGTGTCTCCGTGTGTGCGTGTGTTGTCAGAGTCCGGCGATCGTGTGGGTTACGACCCTGACTTGCTGGAGGACCCACAGTGGCCATGTGGGAAGCACAAGCGAGTGTTCATCTTCCCCTGCTACATGGTGTGACTCACTCGCTCACACGCTCACTCGCTCACACGCTCACTCGCTCACACGCTCACTCGCTCACACGCTCACTCGCTCACACGCTCACTCGCTCACACGCTCACTCGCTCACACGCTCACTCGCTCACACGCTCACTCGCTCACTCGCTCACACGCTCACACGCTCACTCACTCGTTCACTCACTCGCTCACTCACTCGCGTAGGCTCCACGGCCAGAGTTGGCTGAGAAAGGTCTCTGTTTACTGCCCTCTGTCATTCTGCTGTTGGATACAGACTGTCGGTCACGACCATACTTCACCATCCCTGGTCACTTACCACTCATCACTGATTTTAGCCTTTGCCAGCGCTTGGAACTCCACCCTGGAGAGTGCGTTTGTGCGTTGCTCGTCGTGAGGTCAAGAGGTCGTATCCTCGTGTGGGTGCGCAGACGACCATCATCGAGTACGTGCGCCCGTCCGACCTGAAGAAGGACATGAACGACACTTTCAAGGAGAAGTTCCCGCACATCAAGCTCACGCTCAGCAAGATCCGCAGGCGAGCGAGTGCGATCAACGTCGGACTGTTATATTAACCATCATCCGTGGTGTCATCATCATCGTCATCATCGTCATCAACGTCATGCATGTGCAGACTGTGTGCCTCCTGTACGCTTTGTTCCTGTGAATGGGAAAGTTGAAGGCGATGGTAGTCGAGGTGGCAATGGGTGTTAAAGTGACGATGGTGGTTAGAGTGATGGCGGTGGCGAAGCTCGTGGTTGTGATAGTGATAGAGGTGACCATCATCACTACGTTTCCTGCTATAATTCGTCTATTGGAGCTGCAGGTGACAGCAGCGTGTGACTTATCAGTGCTGCTGCATGACGTTAGGACGCCGTCATCGCTCAAGTAAGCTTTTTGTTTAACCAGCCGAAAGACCGGTGGTGAATGCGGTGACGATTGCGATGTTGTTTGTGTCGAACGGAGGGCGTTGCGTGCCACGGTCACTGTGCGCGACAGCGACGCCACGACGCGGCGCGTGACGCGGCGCGGTGTGTGACGCGGCGCATGACACGCGTGACGTGTGGAGCGCAGCCTGAAGGAGGCGATGCGGCGGCTGGCGCGCGACGACTGTGGACTGGAGGAGGGCGCCGTCGCCATGGCGCACGTGTACTTTGAGAAGCTGGCGCTGCGTGGGAAGCTGAGCAAGCAGAACCGCAAGCTGTGCGCCGGCGCCTGCCTGCTGCTCGCCGCCAAACTGGCCAGCGACCTGCGGCGGCGCGACGTCAAGCTGCTCATTGACGTCAGTCCCGGTCGCACGCACACGCGCGACCATTTTTACCTGTTCCCTCTACCTCCATGCCTCTTTCTACTTTTGTCAATTGGTGATGGGTGTGGTATTGGGGATAGTGATGAATGCGATGGTGGTGATAGTGGAAAAATTGATGATAGTAATTTTTATGAGGAGTATATTGGTGACAGCGATGACAGCAATGGTGTTAATGTAGGTGATGTTGACATACAGTAATGGGTGTAATGTTGGTGATGGTGGTAATGCCGGTGTTGTTGCAGAATCATGATGCGTGTGCGGTGTCGGTGATGGAGGTAACGTCGACGTGCCCTGTGTGATGTAGACACGTGTGATGTGGCCCTCTCAGAAGGTGGAGGAGCGCTTGCGGCTGAGCCGCCGCGAGCTGCTGGAGTTTGAGTTCCCAGTGCTGGTGGCGCTGGAGTTTGCGCTGCACGTGCCGGAGCGCGAGGTCATGCCGCACTTCCGCCGCCTGTCGGTGCGGGACTGAGCTCCGCGCCGCCGAGCTTAGCCAGGCGTGGCCAGGCGTGGCAAAGCGCGGCGCCGGGAGATGTCGCCCGTCGGCAAAACCAGCATCCGTGCGGTCAAGGCGGAGCCAACATTAAGAAACTTTGTTGAGCGGTGGCACCGGGAGATCTGGAAGACATGGGAGCCATGGATATGCCGCGTCGTCATCCTGATCATTGTTGCCGGCTCCTGGCTTGGCTCCGCAGCCATCCTACCGTGATGCTGTAGGAGTTTCGGGTGTCCCAAGGGGTCCCCGCGAGCGCCCGCTTGACGACCTCAATAGCCGCGTTTACATGACCCTCCCTTTGCGTCCAGGGAGGTCAGGGAGTCTCAACGTGGGCACCACGTCCGCACCGGCTGAGCAGTGCTCCCGGACCGTGCTCGCGGACACCTGGGCAGTATCTCCAGGCATCAGAAATGCAACAACAATAAAATAAATAACAGTTTAATTAATCATTCATATCGTTTGCGTTGACGTCACGCACAACTTCCTGTTCGCATCCTCGTTGCTGGCCCGATCTGTGTGGTTTACCCACCAGGTTAAGTCGGTTTCGCGTGGTCACAGGTAGGGAGTCGCACTCCTCCCTAGGGCTGTGTCGCGGCCATATTTTGTGCACTTTGCCCACCTGAATTCCTGCCCGGTGGCGTCAGTAAAACGGTGGCCGGACTACCGAGCGCGCAGGTACCACGGCAACCCGAGTTCTCGTGCCACGCCTTAGAGATGAACAAACCGCGGACAGTGCGTGATGGTGCGGTGTGGCTCCGAGGCAGCTTATATGTAGCTACTAGGTGATGCTGATTGCTAGGATTTTAAAGATCAAACTTAATGTGCACTCTACCAAAGTGTTTTTATTATTCGAGGGGGTTGCGTCGGTGACGTCACCTTGCGCCAGTTTCTTGACATCGGCCAGCGCCCTTGCTCCTCACTCATTGCTAGAAAACGGAATGCACTGCCGGGTCACTTATGGTGGAGTAAAGTGTGAGTTACCCCATCTCCGGTAATTCATGTTAATCTTGTCCAATGAACATTACAGACGAATACATTCGTCAAAGTATTTTAACTTTTTTTACTACGAGTGGACGAAAGTCATTGTGCGATGATGGCGACTGCAGCTACCCCAACGAAGACTAAAGCGCGACAAACTGATGAGAAGTGAAAGATAACTTTGTAACGCTATCGGAGAATGCAGTGCACGGAGCGTTCTCCTCGACTCGACTGAATAACTAAACCAAATCCACAGACTAAGGCTCGACTCGATTTCCATTGGTCGACTTCACTTAGACTACCACTAAAATAACAGGTGGTGACTAAACTTGATGCTGGTTCTAATCTGTCCGACCATAACAACACAAGCTGGATAAACCGCACTCTATGAGGGAGACATTTACGTTCAGTGCTTTGGCCGCTATGGAGAGGGATCACGTGTGCAAGTGTGATGTGCGTGTTGGCGTGTGGTCAGCTTCTGCAGGTGTGTCCCAACAGACGAGCGCGTGGCCTTGCCGCTGGTAGGCCATGTGTGGCCGCATGCTCTGCGGTTCTCATTATTTCTCCACTCCGATTAGCACAGTTGGCTATGTAAGGTGCGAAGGAAGTTTAACGTACATACTTGAAGCTGAACATCGGATGCATTTCACGAGCATCCCTGGCCAGGAATGGCGGGATTTTGCGATGGACTTTTTTCCCGGTATACGACCGAGCCGTGTCGGGACCGTGCAGGACTCGCCTGGTGCCATCCTGCTCCTGCTGGGCCCTGAGCCAGATTCGGATGTCTTGCGAGTTGCGAGACCAGAGCATCCCGCTTTGGTTCTGGCTCAGCTCGGCAGAGAGTCAGTGGAAAACCACCGCCCGTACCGTGAGGGCCGCACTCTGGCTCGGCTCGGATGTGCCAGTGGAACAGGTTATTTCAGAACAAGGGAACATCTGTCTTTGTATAGCTTTATTATTCAGTCAGAATAGCTGTTTTTAAATGTATGTAGAGCTTAGTTGGTGTACTCTTGTTGTGTCTATGAGGTATGAATGCGATGTCGAGTGTCTCTTGAGGATGAAGCTATTATAGACACAGCGACAATTTGCAATTCACGCAACTGGAAGGATTGGAGTGGTGGCAGAGTGATTTGCACACTGCGCTATGAACCCGGTCCCCCCAGTTCGATTCCCAGCCGTGGCTATCATCAGTGGCAAGTGAAATGTATACCGGTCCTGGGCTCTCCCTTCAACCTGTGTTGACCGATATGGTGAAGTATGGTCAAACAACCCCCATGAGCAACATGGGGGCCTTTACCGAGCAGTGGTTTTATAAAAGACTGGAATGTTTCAAGTACATAATACAATATCAGGTCTCCATTGCAAACACGCTTGGTGGATTGGGTGCGCATGTGGTTAAATAAAGGATTTTGTTCGTATCAAGGTTTTCTTTGTGTTTCCGTTACTGTGATAATCGTGTGCATGCTTAAAGTGAAGTAAAATTAATGTGTTGAAAGTTTGGTTACGTTGGGATTGTGATTAAACACATTCCTGCGGAGGGAGCTGGTAGGAACGTTGGGTTGCTCGGTCAATGGCCAGGGTCAACGGCGGCGTGGTGTATTCCGCAAATATGGCCGACTGTGAGGGCGGGCACAAGCCGGCGTGAGTAGGTTAAACGTTGAGTTTTATAAGGGCACCACGGGGTGACCAGCCCCTCCCCACCCAGCCCCTCCCCACCCAGCCCCTCCCCCCAGCCCCTCCCCACCCAGCCCCTCCCCACCCGCCCACGTCGGGCTGCCTCTCGATCGTGCTCCAGGTGTTGGAGGTGCCGGGACAGGAGGAGACGTGGGGGGGGGGGGGGCTCCCCACCACGCTGCCTGCTGCCGGCCTCGTGGTGACGATTCGGCGCTCTCACCGTCGCTCCCCGGGTTCGATTCCCGGTCAGGGAACGAGTCTTGGTTTCTTCATCAAAAGCGGTGAAACTTTTCCGTCACTAAACATGTAAAAATGTACTCAAAGCTTTCGTGACCGCAGGTAAAAATTCAATGAAGATGTTCCTTGACCGGGAATCGAACCCGGGGAGCGGCGGTGGTGAGAGCGCCGAATCGTCAGCACGAGGCCGGCGGCAGGCAGCGTGGTGAACGCTCCACTCACTGCCCCTCCACGTGGTGAGGCGTCCATTGTGCGCGCGTGTTTCAAGTTTCAAGTTCATTTATTTGGTATAGCCCTGTGAGCCATTCGGCTCTTGAATCGGGTGCAACCGCAACAAACAAAAACATGAACAAAAAACATCTTAAAGTAAATATGACTAAGTGCAAACAGAAAATCCAAGAAAAGACAGCAAAATATTGCAGAAAAAACACCGTACACCAACGCTCACTCACCACAAGGGGGAGGCCCTTATCCAGCAGTGGAGTGACCACGTCAGCTGCTTGCGTGTTGGTGGTACCCCTACGGGGGGCGATGAGATCGCACCGTTCGTCATAGTCGCAGGATGACACCAGCGTCAGTGCGCGCGAGTTTTGTTCGGAACAATCGCGAACTGCTCCCAACAAACGACGCCCCGGGCGATTGTTAACCCGCCCGCGCTCCTCCTCTGCTGCCACCGAGTTTCCACGCGCTGCGCTGATCCTGACCCACGGGGTTGGTGGTGAACCGCGCGGCTTCAACTCCGTGGGGGCTCACGGGGGGGGGGCTTCGTCAGCCGCGGGGGGGGGTGGACCCCCCCCCCCCCCCCGCGCCATCCAGGACGTGAGCTTTGATTTCGTAACACGAAACGAGGGTTGGCCTCGCTGGGGAGAATTCGAACGGCAACAGCACGGGGACTCGCGGTCGACTCCCGGCTGATGGATTTTGTTTTCGAGTTTAAACAACGACAATGGGGCCGGCCATAAATGACGTCACGCGATTTTGGACGATTTTGACCCCCACCTCGTCACACGGCGTCACAAAAAGTCAGACCCCCCCCCCATCTAATATGACGTCACAAAGCTGCCGCCCCCCCCCCCCCCAAATAAAACATGCTTCCGATCGCTTTAAACCAGTGGCGGCTCCTGCAAAATCTCTCAGGGGGGGCAAATGTCTGGATGATTGATAAGGATAAGGTCCACCCATGCAATGGATAAATTAACAGCTTAAGCATGTAAAGGCAACTTCACTTCTTTAATATTAATGACAAATAAAGTGACTCTTACAATACATCTTGTTTGTTTATATACTCACTATTATTACAATCCACTCAGTTTCTTTTATTAAAGATTCCACTAGGTAGCGACAAATATTATTGTTGACTGAAACGTGCTTACGTATGATGACGTAAGCATATTCTTAGGTTTTTTTCGGTAAAGTCACGTAGGTAAAACATCAAAATTAATAAAAATAAAATAAAGATCACGACGTTTCGGAGGCAACACAAGTCTCCGTCATCAGATGGGACCGTCACAGCCAGATTTGCTGCATCAAGTGAGGCAATGATTCAAGATGTAATCCCTTAAAAGCAAGTTGAGGGGGGGGGAGGAGAGGGGGGGGGGAGCTCATCAGAATGTGGTAGCCAATGAATGGAATGAGCTCCCCCCCTCTCCTCCCCCCTCAACTCGCTTTTAAGGGATTACATCTTCAATCATTGCCTCACTTGATGCAGCTAATCTGGCTGTGACGGTCCCATCTGATGACGGAGACTTGTGTTGCCTCCGAAACGTCGTGATCTTTATTTTATTTTAATTAATTTTTATGTTTTACCTACGTGACTTTACCGAAAAAACCTAAGAATATGAATCCTTGCAGTCACGAAAGCTTCAAATCTAGAATTAAATGACGTAAGCACGTTAGTGCGAGCCCTCCCGGAAGCCATAGAGAATGCATTGCAGCGCCCCCGTTCGAGAAAAAAACATCTTTGAATGTAAGTCTATGGGGCCACTCGGGGCGATTCTCAGCCAGAGTGAAATCGCCCCAAAAGAGGCGGTACTCCACAGAACGTGACATGACGCTGATTGGACTATATCCAGAGGCTGACAGTGACGGCTAGCGTGACTCTGTGGTTGAATGACATTGGTGGTGCGTCGCCCAATCGCCCTAATGAAGAAACCGCCCCTGCTTGAAACTATTGTCATTGTAGTGCGTATTCAATGTGGCGCTGCACTATGATGTAGGAGAAAACATTTATTACTAAGTATATTTAATTAAGTAGAACGTGTTGTTTATATTCCAGATTTGTCTATATTTATTTAAAGTTGCGCATTTTGATGTGACGTCACATTTTTCACCCCCCCCCCCCTCGTCACACATCGTCACAAATGTCGGACCCCCCCCCACCCCCCAGGTGCGTGACGTCATTTATGGGCGGCCCCAAATCTCCCTCACCCCGAACCAAAATAGCGGCGGCGTGACCTTTCGTTTCCGTACCACGTGATGAGAGGCGGCCAATCAGCATCGCGCGCCGCCGCCGACTACAGCAGCGGCGCAAGCGGCAGGATCCGCAGTTTCCTCTCGCCCCCCTCGTCTCCCCGCATCTCCCCTCGTCTCCCCTCGTCTCCCCGCATCTCCCCTCGTCTCCCCTCGTCTCCCCGCATCTCCCCTCGTCTCCCCGCATCTCCCCTCGTCTCCCCACATCTCCTCTGGTCTCCCCCGAGCCCCGCACTTTCCCCGGCTCCCCGCGCCGCTTCGGCCCCCCCCTCCCCACCGGCCGCTCGCCTGAGCCAGGCCCAGGCTGCGCGTTCACAACAGCCGCGGGGCCTTGAGCCGAAGCCGGGAAGTTTGGCCCGCGTCGAGACTTTGCTCCGTCCACGTTCACCAAGAGAGCCCCGTCACGACGACGAGGAGGAGGAGAGTTGAGACGCGCGTCCGTTCGCTCTGTGGAGAAGGCAGGCGGCGAAAGCGGAATGGAGGGCTCGGGGGGAGAGGCGCTGGTGGCTGCGGTGGCGACGACTGCTGCGCCCAAGGTGCGAACTTGTGACCGTCTCTACCCTGTGTCTCTCCTGTGTCTCTCCTGTGTGTACCAGTCTACCCTGTGTCTACCCTGTGTGTACCAGTCTACCCTGTGTCTACCAGTCTCCCCTGTGTCTCCCCTGTCTCTACCCTGTGTGTACCAGTCTCCCCTGTGTCTCTCCTGTGTCTCCCCTGTGTGTACCAGTCTACCCTGTGTCTCCCGTGTGTGTACCAGTCTCCCCTGTCTCTCTCCTGTGTCTCCCTTGTGTGTACCTCTCTCCCCTGTGTGTATCAGTCTACCCTGTCTCCCCTGTGTCTCCCCTGTGTGCATCAGTCTACCCCGTCTCTCCCCTGTCTCCCCTGTCTACCCTGTGTCTATCAGTCTACCCTGTGTCCTCTCTGTCTCCAGCGTCTCCTCTGTGCGTATCACTCTCTCCTGTGCGTATCAGTCTCCCTGTGTCTCCCAGTCACCACTGTGTCTCCCGGTCTCCCAGTCTCCAGTCTAACCGAATTTCCTCGAGTCTCGTTGAATTGTCTCCGCATGGGGCACCTGTTTAACTCTCTCCATATTAATATCGTGTCCGTCTTCGCATGTCCCCCACCACCGCTCGTGCCTCACTGTGTCTGTCTCTCGGCTTGCCCCTCTGCGTTTCCGTTTGTTTCCCTGTGGGACCCGTCACCCGGCGTCGCAGTGAATTAACTATGGATCCTAGTCTGCCTTTAGTCGAGTGTGTTTTGTTTTACGAGCCTTCGTCAGCTGCTTCTCGAGTTTCAATCATAAAGAGCCGCGCAGCGCCATCGGCTGGGTCCGCTGTCACGGCCTTTCGTCTTGCTCGTCATTGCGTCATTGCTTTCATCCGTGTGAAGTAAAAATGCCGGCTCAGCTCGTGGCCTCGTCGTGTTGCCACACAAGCTCGGGGTCGGTCCGTGCAGTGACCGCCTGAGTCACCGCAGGAGGCACGTAACGCGCCACCACCCTGCGTCCCTGCCCTTCGACACGCAGAGCCCTTGGGGCAAGGTGGGCGTGGGGGCGGCGGCCCCGTGCTCCCTGGCGGACGTGATGAGCGAGGAGCTGGCGCAGGAGCTCAGCCGCGCCGACACGGGGACCCAGGACGAAGCGCTCAGCCTGGAGTACGAATCTACACCAACATCACAACTACCTATAAGAATCGCTCACACACCCTACCACCCACCTACCACCTCGTCAACACCAACGAGGAGTCTACACGCCCGCACCATCAACGGAAACAATACCGACACATATTTTGCGTCATACCACTCACTAGCAACACGACCACCAATACCACCAATACCACAACTCCCTTAACAAACAACACTGCCAACAGTCTACTACTACCACCACGAACACTGCGAGGACCAACACGAGCAACACCCTTTACATACTGCCGTCGTCAACAATACATCATCACTCACTAAGATCCCACCACCTATTCTTAGGTTTTTTCGGTAAAGTCACGTAGGTAAAAACATTAAAAAGTAAAATAAAATAAAAATC